CTATTACCATGTAGAGTTACAGATTTTTTTTCTTATGATGAGAGCTTTTAAGATTTGCTCTTTTAGCAACTTTCAAATATACAGTACTGTATTATTAACTATAATGACCATGCTGTACATTATAGCCCCATGACTTATTTACTTTACAACTGAAATTTTGTACCTTTTCACCCACTTCACTCGTTTTGCCCCCCACCCACCACATCCCCCGCCTCTGGGAACCACCAATCTGTTTTCTTTATCTATAAGTTTGATTATTTTTTTAAGATTCTATATATAAGTGAGATATATGGTATTTGTCTTGGTCTGACTTATTTAATTTAGCACAATGCCCTCAAGGAACATCTATGCTATTGTAAATGGCAAGACTTCCTTCTTTTTAATGGCTGAATAATATTCTAGTATGCGCACATGCACGTGCGCGCACACACGTGTATATATGTATGTATATACACCCCACACTTTCTGTATGCATTCATCCATCCATCATTGGACACTTAGATTGCTTTCATGTCTTGGCTATTGTAATAATGCTGTAGTGAACATGGGGGTATGTATATCTTCTTGAGTTAGAATTCTTCTTTTCTTTGGATCAATGTCCAGAAATGGAATTGCTGGATCATATGGTAGTTCTATTTTGAATTTTTTGAGGAACCTCCATACTGTTTTCCATAGTGATGATACCACTTTACATTCCCATTTGTTGAGTAAATTTAATGAAAATATCTGAATGAAATTTAGAAAAATCATCTCTTAATTGGCCCCCATTGTGGGCCTTTATTTAGCAATAGAATCAAAGCCTTTGAAACACATCTATAACAAAGATGTGTTTCCTCATCTTGAAATTTAAAAGAGATTAAAGATGTGTATAAAGTTTCAAGGATAGTCACTTCATTGTTTACAGTTTTTTAGAAAAAAGTTAGGCAAATAATGTTTATTTGCAGAAAGAAAGAAAAAAGAATTGTCTATTAATCCCATCATTCAGAGCTTACTTAATATTGGTATATGTCTGTCTACATGCATATTTTTTGCAGTGTTATTTACAACAGTGAAAAATTGGAAACAACCCAAGTACCTAACAATAATATATTAGTTAAGTAATTTACAGTGTTCCCTTGAAAGGTGTTCACCTTACATAATTCAGTTTAAAAAAGAGGCCACCCAACTATGAATAGTCTTTCAGCAAAAAAAGGAATCAAAACTGAATCTGATCAAGGCTTTATATCTACTAATTTATAGAAAATCCAGGACAAAGGAGCATGTTAAATGACATCATGAGTGTCAGCAGAAAAATCCAGATTGTGGAAAAAAAGCTCCATAGGACAAATGACCCAGTTTCTTTAAAAATAAAATTGAAAAGGGAAACAAGATGGAGGGGGAGTCTGTACCAAAAGAAATTCAAAAGACACATCAACCACTTTTAATACACAGACTGTATTTGAGTCTCTGTTTGAACAAATAAAATTTTAAAAATTATTCAGAATGTGCTAATATTTGTTGAAGCTAGACGATGGCTAAGTGGGATTCATTACTCCTCTCTACTTCAGTGTATGTTTGAAAGTGTCCATATAAAATGTCTAAAAAAATCTGCAAAACAATGTAAGAAGTATTTTGTTAGTGTTTAGCTAGAGATGGTAGATTGTAGGTATTTTTATTAGTTTATTTTTGTTTTCCTATGCTTTACAAGGTTTGGGGTTTTTTTACATAATTTGATTTACTCTCAATATTGAAACATCTTCATTGTTCATAAATTAATCTTCACCTTTGTCATGAATATATTTTGTTCCTCAAGTTTTTTAAGATTGTTTGAAATTTATATTCTACTTCTAATCCCAGCACTATTCAGGAAGCCTGCTTCTTGGAATGCTAGGAATTCAGAGATAAGCAAGTATTAATAATACTGATACTTACTGTAACATATAAATTTATTTCCTCATTTCAGATTCCCAAATGCTGGAAAATCCTCTTTGCTAAGTAAGATTTCTCATGCAAAACCTACAATTGCAGATTATGCATGTAAGTATATATTTTTAAATGTGTGGAGGTAAATTTTTAAAGACTAATCTTTGAGTGTGAATAAAATGATAACTTTGAGGGTAGCCTTAGTTTGAAGGCTCTTGGCAGATAGAATACGTGCATTTCCCATTAATCTTTGAAACCTCCATAGTTCTCAGCAGAATTCCTAGTACTTGTTAGGCCCTGTTGCATTTATTTCTCTGTTGTATAGTCATTTATTTGGTTTAGCTGTGATTTTATGAGCACCTTCCCTTTATCAAGCACTATGATAAATACTAGGAAGCCTGAGGTGAATTCTTTCATTCATTTAGCAAGTATTTATTTCTAGGAACTACATTAAGTTCTGGATTATGCAGAAGAGAATATTGTTTTGACAAATACTGAATTTGTTTTGTTGAACTTACAGACAAATGGAGAAAGGCACATATCTCACTAATGAATATGAGAATATAATGTGATTCTATGAAAGAATGTAGGTGACTGCTTTAGATTTCTTTAGGGAAGGGTGATGCTGGGGCTGACATATGAAGAATAAATGTGGACAGTGGAGGTGAGGGTCTTTTAGTCTGAGGAAATAGTGTGTACACAGAGGCTCGGTGGTGACAGGGAGTGGATTTGTTTCTCTAGAGAACATGTGGTAAGTGAGAGGGAACCAAGGTGAGGCTAGAGATATAGGTCAAGACCTGTAATAAGACCATGTAGGCTGTATTTGATCTTTATGTCTTAAGAGCAGTTGATAGCCTTTTAACAAGGGATAAAATGATTAGATTTGCTTTTCAAAAAGATCTCTGCATGTAATATAGAAAATGGGTTGGTGTGGCACATAAGTGGATCTGGAAAGAACAGTTAGTAGAACTGGCTATCGCAGTAGCTAGGTGAGATACGATGGAAGCTTAGACTAAGTGGTGAAAAAATATGATAGGATCTCTGCCATCATTAAATAAGATAGTATAGAATGACATTAAACTGGAAAATAAAACTAAATTGTTCTAAAATCAGACTCTGATAAAGTAGAATTAATCTGTACTACTAACTGCTGTAAATCACATGGCCAATATTTTTTGTCATCATACAGGGGACTTTTGAAAAGGAAAGAGGGAAAAAAAGCAAAAAGTCTAGTGCAGATTAATAAAGCTTGAGGATAACTGAATGAGAAAGGACTAGACAGATTTCACCCACAGACCAGGTGATAGAAGCCTAAATTCTGTCCCCTAGCCCCAGTACCTTTACCATGCTCCTTAAAAGTTCAATAGAGGAACTTTAAGACCCACTAGTTAGACTTACACTTACACAGATTGTAAAAATCTTTACTTTTCCAAGTATATCATAAATAGCAAAAATAATTACATCTTTCATTTCAACAAATGAGAACATAATTAGATTTTTTACAGAAAAGAAATAGTTTATTTTATACGTAATTCTAAGACAATTTTGAGAGTACAAGCCTTTATTCTAGCCTTAATTTATTATTGTTTTTTCTTTTAGTTACAACATTAAAGCCTGAACTTGGAAAAATTATGTATAATGATTTCAAACAGGTGGGTACTTTTAAAGTAAGACATTTGGTTAGAAATTAAAGTACTTGCTTTGATACTTAGACCTTATAATATTTGGCATTTTGTGTTAGGGGTAAAAAGGTAGTAGTAGGATTTTGATTTTGAAGTGAAACCATGATCAAATCAACTCTGCTGAGCACTGTCAGAGTAAAATATTGTATGAAAATGGAACTTTTTGTTCTTCCAAAATTTAGGTCCAGTTTTGTCATAACATTGTATCTTTATCTCCTCAATCTATTTGTTCTCATTGCAAGTCCATGTTTTACTGCCATATTTGATTATTGGCTTCTGTTTCCTAAAAAAATTCCTATCTCCTTTTAAGAGTGGACAGTAATCCTGGTAGAATATGAACAGTAAAGGAACAAAGGTACCAAATAATCAATGACATATAGAATTAAAAACTTGAGAAACTACAGAGCTATATACTAAGTAAGTGTCTGCTGAATTAATATCCTTGTATACTTTTCATGAATTTAGAAAATTGAAATTCTTAGAAAAGTTCATATTGAACAATATGGTTTATGGAATTTTAAAGAGAATTTATGTGACTAATAACTTAAACTAAGCCCTAAAATTCCTACATTGTCAGATTAGTAAGTAAAATGGGATTCTAATTTCTGATAATAAAGGATTTTGATTCTTTATACATTTCTTGTAAGGTATCTTGGCTTTATAAAATGCAGTGGTAATCACAAATTAGGAACTGTTTATAATGGAAATATCATGAAAATTGTTGGATGTAATTGTTTTTGTGGTTTTCATATATTTTTCTTTATTATCAAACCATTTAATTTTGTATTAGGTATCAGTAGCTGATCTTCCTGGTTTAGTAGAAGGAGCACATAGGAACAAAGGAATGGGCCACAAATTCCTCAAGCATATAGAAAGAACTAGACAACTCCTTTTTGTTGTAAGTCATATGCATGTCAGTGTAATGTTCGAATGAATGTGAAAATCAATGAACTTAGTATACCTAGAAAGTTTTTATAATAATACGATTTAAAGTAGTAACATATATTATTCCACTAAATCTGCTTAGATGGGGTCAAATATGAGTTAGTAATTCCTTAATATTTTCAATGTACTACTAAATTATTTAGTAATAACTTTCCTATGTCACTTGTAGTGGTGTGTTATACATAAGATTGTGTATATTGGTATAAATTGTCTTGCCTGTACTGGTTTTTCATGTTATTAATGATTGTGATTTTATCAGAATAATTATGGTTATCTTAAAACATTAATTTCTCTTATTCTGAATTCCTAAATTACCAATAGAATGTAGATTAAAAAATTATTTTTAGCTTGAGACAGTAAAACATTTCAAAATAGAATTGTATAGCTCTTGTTCTTTTGTTAAAGGCTATCTCTGTCCATTTTTTTTTTCTTTTTCTTTTTTAGGTTGATATTTTTGGATTTCAGCTTTCTTCCCAAACTCAATACAGATCTGCCTTTGAAACCATAATACTGCTTACAAAAGTAAGTTTTATGTTTTATATCTGGTCTAATATTTAGGCAAATAGGACTGTATGAAATAATATATCACACAGTTAGAATGAATATGTATTCTACCTCTGCTTTTTAAATCTTTAATGTCAATTAAAGCTGTCTCCAGTTTCTCAGTATTTACCTGCTCCTCGAATTATTGTAATCAGTAAAACCATCCTTGATTCCAAATTCCTATTACATGTTTCTCAGACTATATCTTCCGCAAACTTTTTATTTCTACTTCTTAGACTATTTCTCTGTCTACTTTTTAGGCTCTCTAATACATAGTTGTTTCAGTTGTGCTTTAGATCAGCTGCCTATTGGACACCTTTGATTGGATATCTCATTAACTTCTCAAATTTAATATGTGTAAAACTGTGAACTTTTTTTTGACGTAGATGGGAGGTAATTAGGTTTACTTATTTCTTTATTTTTAGAGAAGTTACTGGGGATGGAACCCAGGACCTTGAGCATGCTAAGCATGTGCTTTACCACTTGAGCTATACCCTCCCCCGACAAACTGAACTTTTTTTTTCTTAAATTCTCCAATCTCCCCCCAGCACTTTACGGACTATGTAAGCAAGAAACCAGGTGGTAGTGATTCTTTCTCACCACCTACATCAAGGCTATCAGTTTTATATCCTAAATTTCTCTGAAATTCAGCTACTTGCCTTCCTCCGCACTGTTACAATCATCAGCCCCTCTTACTAGGATAAGTCTCTTCTATCTGGTCTTCCTGCTTCCAGTCTTCCAAGCCATTTTTTATATGGGAGCTAGAGTGATCTTTGTTAAAGAACCAAGCTGATGTATGTTCCCTGCTGAAAACACTTTGATGGTCCTCCATTGCTGTTAAGTCTAACCTGAACATGGTTTAAGAGATCTGGCAACGTTGGGTTCCTACCTAGCAGGCCATCTCTGTCACCACCCGCTCCACACCCCTTACATCCTGTATCTAGCCATGTGGTTTCTAACACAACGATGTTATTTACCTTCAGGACTTTTATATCCTATATCCTTTACCACTTTTTGCCTATTATCGATAATGCTGCTGTGAACATTTGTGTACAGGCTTTTGTGGACATGTTTTCATCTCTCTTGGGTATATACCTAGGAGTAGAATTGTTGGATAATATGGTAATTCTATGTTTAACATTTTGAGGAACTGCCAGACGTTTCCAAAGTGACTGCAGCATTGCATCATTTTGCAGTCTCACTAGCAATGTATGAAGGTTCCAGTTTTTTCATATTAATATCAACACTCATTGTGTCTTTATTTTAACCTTGTAGGGATGAAGTGGTATTTCATTGTGGTTTTGGTTTGCATTTCTCTAGTGACTGATGATGTTGAGCATCTTTTCATGTGCTTATCAGCCATTTGTATGTGTTTGAAGAAATGTCTATTTAGATTATATGCCTATTTTTAAATTCTGTTTTCTTTTAATTGTTGAGTTGTAAGTTCTTTATGTTTTGGTTACAAGTCTCTTACTGGGTATATGATTTGCAAATACCTCCTCCCATTCTGTCAGTTGTCTTTTCATTTTCTTTGGGATATCTTTTGAAGCACAAAATTTTAAATTTTAATCAAGTCCCCTTTGTCTATTTTTTCTTCATACTTTTAGTGTCATATCTAAGAGACTGTTGCCTAATCCACGGTCACAAAGATTTACTCCTAGGCACACTTGCTTTTTCCAATAATAATACAGATAAGCATTAAATTGTCAATATTCAGTTCTGAATTTTATCTGTGTGCTTAAAAAAGTCCAAATACCTGTATTTGGCTCTAAGCACAAAAATCGCAGCTATCTCTAGGATGTCATGTGAGCTAAAATATATTAGCACATGACACAACCAGTAAGCATTTTCTGAATTTCCTTTGTTAATTAGTTTTGTGGTTGTTGGGACGTACTGCATTTCAGAGATGTGAATGGGTTTTAGATTACCCAGGCCTATAAAGTAAAGAAAGATGTTACCATATTTGGTCATTTGTATAGATATTTTAATAAAATTATTTCGTTTTTCTCTTTTGATTTAAAGGAGTTGGAGTTGTACAAAGAGGAGCTTCAGACAAAACCTGCACTCCTGGCAGTTAATAAAATGGACCTGCCAGACGCTCAAGATAAATTCCATGTACTGATGAGCCAACTCCAGAATCCTAAAGGTAAACCTATTCATTCACTTAATGTCAATTTAATGAGTACCTACTATTTGCAGAGACTGGTAGAGAAATCAGTAGAGAAAAAAAAACTGACAGTTGCTACTCTTAAAAAAAAATGTTTGAAGAAAGAACACGTACCATATGAAACATTCAAATAATACTGTAACAAAATAATCATCAAATTTCAGAATATGGGATATAGACATTAAGTTGACAAAAGAAAGATTAATTTGAACTGAAAGTTCAGGCTTCATGAAGAAGTAAATCTTAAACTGGGCCCTTAAAGAGTTAATGGGTTTTGGATCAGAAGAGGAAAAAGTTAGCATCTTCATGTGAAGTCTTTCACTTTTATCTTATTTCACAAATTCTAGAACTTCATTCCCCTAGGATATGAATTTAAAAATGGAGCTAACTGTTCAAAAATGAGCTGAATACTAGTTTCTCTAGTATACCTTGAATTTAAAAACAGAGCTAAAGGAATTATGTATCTTTGCAATGCCAGCTTACTAGGTCTCTGAAGAGTACTAGTCTTCTCTAGTAAAACTGAAAAAGGAAAAAAATAAAAAATTTATTAAAAAAAAAAAAAAGAGTACTAGTCTTCTAAAAAGAACCTGAGTCCCTATATATGTGTGGCACAGAATAATAGATGCTGTTATTCCAAAAGAATTTATTTATTTGAAATTTGTTCCTAAGTAGACTACTTCATGTAAGGGAACTTAAAGGGATTCTCCATAGTTTTGATTATTGATCTTTGCAGAACACTCTCTATCCTACAGTGATGGTGTTTTCATTTTTCTGAGTCTTGTGGAGGACCTCTTACACAAATGAGGAAAGTAGGGTGGATAGTAAGTGGCTAACATATTTTAAATAGACCCAATTTCTGTGTTTTTATCCTTGGGATAAAAATTAGAGAAAATAAATTATAATATACTAGGACTAGCAGACAGCACAAGAAGATCCCCTCTTCTCTCTCAAAAATCTCTCACCTGTATAATTTACTTACTGGAGCTGTCCTTGAGTTAATAAGTTATGCTGAGGATATAAGTATCCCCTGGAATTAGTAAACAGTCTTTATTCCTTTATGTCATTTGCTTTATGAAGTCATTAGATGTGTTTGCTAGTTGGTCTTGCAGAAAAGGGAATTTTCAGAGGAGGTACCAGGAGGAAGGGTAACCCAAGAGTTTGTGGCTATTTCGGACCATCATAAAATAAAATATAGTTCTCTTGGTAGTAATTACTAAATTAGCCTCTCAGACTTCGTTGGAGGTATATGAGTCTCGAAACCAGGCTCCATATTGGCTTGTCCAGTCTCTTTCAGCCAGCCTTTCCAGTTCATATTGGTGTTGATCCATCCCGTGAGTATGCCATCCCCCTTTCTGTTGCCTTGGTGACAGAGAGGAGGAGAAAGGTATACAACAGCTGTCAGCCTCTGTGGAGTAATAGATTGGATTCATCTGAAAATGATCTCTCCTTTAACTCTCCCTGCACCCTTTTCTATTTTAGTATGGCTCCTAGCACCAGTGATGATAAGCCTATCGTTTGGGATAGTCAAAGGCTACCTGTGTACTGAGACAAGCCGAATAGCCCAAATCACAAATTACGTTATTTTTATAGAAAAGTTCTTTCAAAGAATCTATGTTGCCTCACTTTTGAACTACCCCAAAATAAAATTTCTTGTCTCTGTAAATAAATAATCTGTGATTCATCTTATTTACAGTTAATTTGGTTTAAAATATATTCATACAACAAATATTTACTAAACACCTATCACGTGCCAAGAACCTTACCATTGTCACTAGTAAAAGCCAAAGGTTCAGGGAGCTTATTAGAGAAGGAAAAAAGAAATTTAAAATGCTAAGTTTTTGGTCTATCGGTTCACAAATCAAACCTTAGCAGAGTTTTGACTTATTTTCAAAGACAATGAAAATCAGCTTAGTTTTTTATTCCTTGTTTCAGATTTTTTGTATTTATTTGAAAAAAACATGATTCCAGAGAGGACTGTGGAGTTCCAACACATCATCCCCATCTCTGCAGTTACTGGAGAAGGAATTGATGAACTTAAAAACTGTGTAAGAAAGTCTCTGGATGAAAATGCCAACCAGGAAAATGATGCACATCATAAGAAGCAGTTGCTTAATTTACGCATTTCCAATACAGTATCTTACAGTGAGCCACCATCAAAGAACGCTCTTACTAGTCCCAGAATGGATGTAACATAAATCAATTAAAAATGATATTGAAATTATGTTCATTTGAAAGCTTTTCCACAGACAGTTTTTAGGTTAGTTGTTACTAATCTGATACATATATATGCCATCATTCAAGAACCATACTTTTTACAGTTGTTTTGAGGTTGTCTATCAACAGCAAAAAAAAGTAACTGCAGACTAAAAATGACAGTTTATAATTTTATGGCCAATTCACCTATAATAAAATCCTCTGATATTCCTAACGTATGATGTCCCTAGTGAGATCATTTTTTAAATTATGTAAGAGGATTCCCTAGAGTAGTTTTAGAAGGAGCAACTAGGTTTTGTTTGTGTTTTTGAGTCTGTCTTGTACATGGTCCCACTAAAATATATAATAGTTCTCCTTTTTGGAAAATTTCAAAACCCTAAATTTGAGTATATTCAGTGGTAATAAAGATCACTGATAATGTTTAACCCAAATTAACAGATAGCTGGTTGTGATTTCAGCTTTTGGAAAATTTTCTTAAGTATGAAAGTGTTTTTTCTTGCTTTGGAGCACACTGACGTATGTCTCATTTTCTTGCATCCTTGTCTGTTTCACTGTCTGCTTTCATATTTTACTAAAGAGAATAAATGGGAAATGCAAACTTTAATATTATCAATCATCATTATATTCTTAGGAGATTATAATTTCTAAATTTCTGCCTGAGTTACAAATTAGACATTTTCTCATAATGAATTATATTATAAAATATACATGTGAATTGTAAAAAAATAAAATAAAATTTAAACAATGCAAACATATAAAGTAAAAAAGAAAAGTTCCCATCTTTGTATCAGGCTCTCCAGTTCTTCCCAGAGAAAACCAAGGTCAATAATTTCTTCAGTTCTTGCAGAAAATTTTTATGCATGTCTTTTTGCCCAAATGAGTTCATTATATATACCTTTCCAGTCTTTTTTAACAAAACAATAGCAAGCTAATGAGCTTTTAAAAATTATTCTTAAGTGCTACTTTTAAAGTATTAGGAATTGCTTTGAAATTTAAGGCTAACTGAAGTCTTAACATGTGGGTATTATATTATTAAATAAAAATGTCACTATCCTTCTACTTATATTTCTTCTGATAGGACAAATGTTTGTGACTTCTTATAAATTTTATTTCACTTGTATTTGTTCCGTTTTCTCTTCCCCACTTCCACCTCCCATCCCAGTCCCCATATCCCTGGCTTTTCTTGTGTTTCTTTTCATTACACCAGGTATTTATTGAGTGTCTCCCATGTGCCAGGCACCTTGCAGGGTGCTACATGTACAGTGTTGAGAACAGACAAGACCTGCTTCCCTCATGGGTCTCACACTGGATGGCGGAAACTGCAGAGGATTAAAATAGCCTGGTAACCCCGTACAACAAAGAAAGTAAGAGTCAGGAAAGCGTTTGAAATTTGAACATCCTTACTGATCATAGTGACCGTGTTTCATATTGGGTATGTTTTGCATTTATGACTTGTGTAATTTTTCTCTTTTTTACTTCCAATATTTCCTAAATGTAAATAAGTGGCAATGTGCAAAGAGTTTCATCAGGTGGATTTCTGAAGTTCTGATCATCTTAATAATAATTATAATAATAATAATCTTAGTTTCTGCCATGACAAAGGATAGTAGATGTGTGTTGAGGATTAAGAGGAATTGTATCTTATTTGTTATGTCGTAATGCCCAGGTTACTACTCCTCCACCAACTGAAACATTTTATGTGGCTCACTAAAATGTTCTATTGTTTGGTTTTTACTTACCAAAAGTGTAATCTATGTACCTTTTTCTGATGGTTGATTTTTATTCTAAATGAGAGGAGAAAATCTGGATTCCTTTTTTATTTTTTAGAAACAAATTTTGAAAGCTTTAAGATTTATTTTGAAGCAGATATTTTGACTATTTACTTTGTCCGTAAGCAAGACTTTTAAAATGTTTATCTTTCAAAATACATACTTTTTGGAATACTTACTTCTTATATTTCTGAATGGCCAGGGTATCAATATACTATATACAACAAATGTTTACCAAGTCCCAGTAGTTCTTGCAGAGCTTGCTATGTCAGATTCATTTACCATCACAGATTATAAGTTTATACTACCAGACACTGTCAAGTATTAAGCATACTATACTATAAGGTTGGATTTGTGCTCTGAAGAGTTTACCTATGAATAAAAAAATTCTACAAACTGGGAGCAGGGCTGGAGTCTGCAGTATAGGTATAGCTCGGAGGTAGAGCACATGCTTAGCATGCACGAGGTCCTGGGTTCAAGCCCCAGTACATCCATTAAAAAAAAAAATTCTACAAACCTATTATATTGTTATTTTTGTAATGTACATCCGTATTATTCTTATTTATCATAGCAAAATGAACTTTATATAAAATTAATGTTTTCTTTTAAGTGGTAAACTTGTATTAGTTATATAATCAGGGGGAAAGTCTGCTTTCATAATGGGAAAAATAAAGTCAAGGGTATTTTATTTCAGGTTTTATCCAGTTAGTTTTCTTGTAAAGTTATGTGTTTTCTTTTAGCTCAGTGTTCATTTGCTTTGGGAAAGTAGAGGTCAGAGTTTCCTTTGATAAAGTTAATGAAAGCTACAGATTTGTTTTTCTTGCTAAAAGTGCACATAAATACACAGAATATTTTCCAAGCAGTTTCACAGGGTTTGCAGAGTTCAGATAAAATATTCAGTTAACAAAGGTAACTTCCATCTAGACATCTGTAATACCAATTAAGATATTAAAAATAATGTTTCAAAGCAACAACATGTAAGTATACTTACAAACTATAGCTTAAAAAACAAAATGAAAATGAGCAATCATATAAATTATAAACCTATATAAAAGACACTTTATTTCAAAAGTATAGCAACCTTTCTTTTTTTAAGACTAAATTGTGAATTTAATTGAATGTATATTTTTAAGTCCCTTAAGAATATCTCTAATTTGGTTTAAATCTGCTCCTTCTTGTGGAATAGACAAGGGAATCAAATCCAGAAATTTTGAGTGCATAGTCTATGCTAGTAATCATAATACATGGTGATGTTTTCATATGCTGGGCACTGTGCTGAGTGTTTCACATATATTATCTCTTTTAAACACTAAACTGTATTGCTTCCTGATCATTTATTATTATTTAAATTGGGTGGTAGGTACATGAGCATTTGGGTTATTTTTTTTAACCTTTTTATGAGTCTAAAATATTTTATAATTTTTAAAAAGCCTTACAAAATTTAGATAAACCTTGAAATTTTAGATAAATTTACCCTAAAATTTAGATAAACATAGTTGATGAATGTTGGCAGACAACATGCTACAGTTTTTACTGTAGAGTTAAATAATAATGAAAAATACTTTTTTTCCCTTAGAGATATTTCAGAGGAGCATTCTGTTTTCTGTTTTGTGATTGGAGTTGGCAAATAGAGAGAATCAGAAGAATCTCTAGTTTTGAGGGGGTGTCACAAGCCAGCTGAAGGAAAATTAAAATCAAATAGGTAGTAGAAATGAGAAAAGAGATAAAAAAGAAAGGAAATATGTGTGTTGGAAAGTTGAGAGTATTTTCTTGTGGATAAATGAGGAGTAATAGGTGGGGGTCATTACCTCAGTTGGATGAAAAAGTCATGGCAATTTCAACTACCATTTCTGATCATAGCCAACCACTAATTTTGGGCAGTCCTAATTTTAAAATTGTTTCTTTCTAAATATATGACAGTTGCTTAATTAATAGTTTTTGGGTACTTGGAAGACTTCAGAGGAAGTAATCACCTTTGTATATATTATTAATGTATTCAAAATAGAAAGTAAATCCTTTGGGGTGCATAGATACCAAGCTGTGTGAAGCATAGCTATTAGCTGAATCATGTCCTTTGAAGTACTTGGAATTTGAACAACAGGATATGTTGTTTATTATAACTAATTCTGGAGCAATATATGGCAGGGCAGGTTTTTTTTCTATTTATTTTGTAAACTGAGTGCATTGAAAGTTGAAAGCAAAGGGCAAGAGCTTCCTTTCTTCATGGCACATATTTCAATATATTTCTCTGAAATTGTCAGTGTCTTCTGAACAGTGCCTTCATTTTCTTATTTGTTATTAAGCATTATTATTGGTATTATTTCTATATAAAAGGCTTTAGGAAGGCCATGGTATGATTTTCTTTTATTAAGAAAAAGGATATGATTATAAAGCTAAAACACTTTCAGTTTTATTTGTATATGGTTTGCTGCAATTTGAGAGAGATTGGAAATATTTTACATCAAGAGCAGACATTGAGTAAAAGCTTATGTCTTTGGATGTATTTGATGATTAAATGACAGGGTAAATAAAAGCCCTTGGTCAACCAAATCCTAATGGAGGGAAATAAGAGTTTTGTACGATAATTGAGCCCCAGTTTCAAAAGCAAATCTTTCTGTGAACTGGTACTACTGTTAGGGTCGAGAGAAGTAAGAACAATATTAGCCACACATGGCCTTTCTATAAAAATATGAAGCAGAAAAACTCACAAGCTTTAAGGAACCATTGATGTCATAAATGCCAAATTTGTAACCCATTCATTAAAAGTCTAACATACAGGTTTCTCTTTAAAAACCAGGTTAAAAATAGCGGTGGTGGGAGGAGGAAGTAATAGGCATGGTAGAAGATAAAGATATAAAATACCTGAATGCAATTAGAAGAAAAAGCCTTCAATTATTGTTTTTTAAGTCAATTTTGTTGTACAGTCTGCTTCCCTCCCTCTCTCCCTCACTCCCTCTTTACTAGTAACTTTGTTAAAGGTTAGAGACAAGTGCTGTCATCCTACCTATGTTATAGTAGACTACACATTCCTAACAGTTTTTAAAGTGACATCTCACTGCTTGGTGTATCCACAACCTTGTTCCCTTATTTCCTGTATTAGTTTGTTAAGGTTACCATACAAAGTACCATGAACTGAGGACTTAAACAACAGAAAATTTATTGCACAGTTCTAGAAGCTAGAAGTTGGAGATAAAGGTGCCAACAGGGTGATGCCTGCAAAGAGCTGTAAGAGGGAATCTGTTCCACACCACTCACTGAGCTTGCAATGGTTAGCTGACAGTCTTTGGAGTTCCTTTGCTTACAGAAGCATCACCCCAACTTCCTTCATCTATATGTGACACTGTGTGTGTGTGTGTGGTTGTCTCCAGATTTCCCCTTTTCATGAGGAAATGAGTCATATTGGATTAAGGCTCATACTAATGACCTCTTTTTGATTTGATTACCTTTGTAAAAACCCTTTTTATAAATAAGGTTACATCCTGAGGTTTGTTGAGGTGGTTAGGACTTTAACAGATGAATTTTTGAGAGATACATTCAACCCACAAAGCTTCTCTACACTTCCCAACTAATAGTAAAAATATACTTCCCAATTATACTTACCAACTTCACAATTATAATGTTATCTATTATTTTTTTATTTCTAAACACTAGTATGTGGGTTT